TGTCGGAATTAAATCACGAGAGTCTTACTGCATAGATATTAATATATATCTATATAAGAACATACTTCTCTGAGTATTTAGGGGCAGTCATGGGCTGATGGGGCAGTCATGGGCTGGAGGTTAGGGAACCAGCCATGTGACCGGCAGGTCATTAGTTCTATCCCCTGAGCCGACAGTATGTGGCTGAGGTTCCCCTGAGCAAGGCACCTAACCCCCAGCTGCTCCCTGGGCGCCGTGGATAGGGCCACCCACTGCTCCAGGCAAGTGTGCTCACTGCCCCCTAGTGTGTGTGTTCACTAGTGTGTATGTGGTGTTTCACTGCATGGATGGGTTAGACTGCGGAGGTGAAATTTCCCCATTGTGGGACTGATAAGTGTCAATTAATCTAATCTAGTAGCATCACGCTCGCGTTATCTTGATCGTTTAGTGTGAGGAGGTTAGGATGGCGGTCTTAACTCAGTCTTTTTCTCGTCTTGACGCTACGACAAAATCAACCGTGTTTGATATTATCCTAAGTTTTAAGTCTTGGCTTATGCAGACAGTGACGTGCCAGAGAGAGAGAGAGAGAGTGCTAGGGAGAAAATGCATGCACCCAATCACCAATGCTGACTCACTGCATGTTTTGTTGATGTATAAGTCTTGATGTTAAATAAAATGTATTTGTGTTGATCTGCCAGAATATACAGTTCTACACTGAACTGAGCTGAGCCTCAGATCTTTACACGCCCAGCCAACATTTAATTTGTACCACTACAGAGTGGAGAAGAAAAAGGGTTTCTCTGTTTGTAAATCTCCCTGGTGTATGATGATGGGAAACAATCTCAAAAATCTAGTTGCAGTCTTGCAAATAGTGACCCTGCACAATCCCCAGTCTTTGCAAAAGCATAGCGTGTGACTAAAAACTCTGTGACACTGTCTTTAGATGTGAGAGGGTGTCAGACTACAGTCTTTTCAAAGTTTTTTCAAAGTCTTCTAGTGTATGGCTAGCATTAGCTGGTGCACTGAATACTTGCAAAATTTAGAAACTTAATTATAACTATATTTCACACCTCTTTATCATTTAATCTTTCATTGTTATCATTTTTTATAAAAGGCTTTCACCCTCATTTTTCGTGTTTTATGTTATATTTGTGAAACAAGACTGTATTTAAATATTTTGGACCTTTTAATAATGTATATGTGCAAAAAATGTATTCTGTATCTGTACATGACTACAATTTACAAATCTGACCTGTTTTTGGAGATGCCTTGAGCATAGTTTATCAGCTGATCAGGGTCATCTTGAGCTGCCCAGGAATTATAGGGCAGTTGTGGTTCGTCATGCAAGGAAAAATCTGTGGTGAAATGCTGAGACAGTTGCCCACTATCTCCGCTAAAATCATTCTGTTTAAGAAAGACAAAAAATTAAATAAAACAAATGCTTGCATTAAACATCTCTATGTGAATTCCCATTTTAATTCAAGTCATTCACTAATGTGGTGCATTTACCATTAATACTGCATCTCACCTGAAACTTGTAGGGGGAGTAGTATGAGTCTGATCCAGTATTATGAAACTGATCAAAGGCCATCTTTGCCCCATTTGCATCCACACTGATTTTACCTTTTCCTGCATTATTAACCTTTAATCACAAAAGAGGACAATATCTATAATAAGACACATTGATTATGCCATAATAAATAGTAAACACAAGCTACATAGGGAAAATGAGTTTGGTTGTATCAGAGATGGCTAATGATGGAAAGATAGACAGATAGATAGACAGATAAATAGATAGATAGAGACAAACAGATAGATAGATAGATAGATAGATAGATAGATAGATAGATATAGATGGATGCATAGATAGAAAGATGGATAAATGAATAGATAGATAGATAGATAGATAGATGGACAGATAGATAGGTAGACAGATAGACAGACAGATAGAAAGATAGATAGATAGATAGAGAGAGAGAGAGAGAGAGAGAGAATAAAAGCAAGATACCCTGGGACACCCCACCCTGATTCCAGTATTTAAAATTCAGGCAGGTTTTTGTAGCTTAACTCTGGAAGCACCAACCTTTCAACCTTTTCTATCCATCAGTCCATCTTTACTATTTTATAACAACTTTTATAAGAGAATGACTGGAAGTGTTTGTGAGATTTGGACTGAAATACTGCTTGGTTCATCTAAACCACAATGACACTTTTCTTCATTCGAGTCTAAATCACTTAAGTTAACTGAAGCCTATCAATCAAACTGCTTCTCAAGAACTTTTTCGTTTTTATGTTGAACGTTTTTTCAACTGCCAACCCATTTTTACACTGTAGTTCTTTTGCTACGTGAGTGACAAATAAAGACGAATAGGGTCTTTTCACATGCTGGCTGGCTAACTGGTCAACCTGCTGTGGCCACGATGGTGCCGAGACAAACATTTAACATAGTCTTTGCGAAACAACGATGGTAAAATTTCACACAGTCAAAAACGAAATTTGAGGTGATGTTTAAAAAAAAACAACTAAGTAAAATTAACTTGGCCAGGACAAGACTAAAATGAACTATGGACCTTGTTAGCTTACTGTTCTTTCAAGCATGTTTGGCTAACTTTCAGAATCCAACCCTTCAGAAATACCTCAGATATGAAAAAAACTGTGTTTCTGATTGTCCAGAAAAAGCACTGACAGCCTCGTTTTACACGTAAGTTACCGTTAATTATAGAAGCCTCTGTAATAATTTAAGTCGCTGTTGGCTCCGTTATCGCGAGTTGAGATTAACGAGTTCCTTCTCGAGCAACCGTTAGCACACCTACGCTGGTTAGCTAGGTTAGCTAACTGAGCTACTGGGTCAGCAAACTTCAGTTAGCAACACGAGCTAACGTTACCACTAAAGTGCCCTCTCCATCCATCTTACCTCCATCTATAGCAACAACAAAGTACTTGTCTCGATGAAATGACTTCTTATCGTAATTTATTTCCACGATTGTCACCTTAATAATCAGTATTATTATTAGTTAAGGGTGGATTTCAGGCTAGTTTAATCTCCTGAAGTGACCGAAGGTGACCACAGATTCGATAGACTTGAAATCTCGATACGCCTCGCGCTCCGCCCGTTAAAAACAACCACATTAAAAAAACGGTTCTAATAGTTAATATTCCGTCGGTTTTAATTGGTCGGCGGGATCAGAACCAGCCAATCAGAATGCACTAACCGGGCAGGATTCCCTACCATAGCAACAGCAGACGTTTTTCAGTTACCGTCTCCCCTGAGAACATAAACGCACCGCTGAACGGGCTAAAGCGCCAGAGATACAGGAAAATAGACAATAAACAGAAAAACATTGGCTCGTTCTTATTAGGCCCATGTCTGCTTATGGACAGTGGGGTTATAATAATAAAAGTACGTCAGAAAAATTAAGCGAGAGGGTCGGCTTATTATATTATTTTCACCTTTTAGTTTTGTATTCGATTTTCAGCAAAAACGTATAGAGCCGACTGGCCTACAGATATAATAGCAAAAAAAGAGCATTAGAAACAATCAGTGGGTTAAAACTTGATGGTTTTGCTTTGTAATGGGAACTAGCTTAACATTAGAGACCACTAGTTTCCTGTAGGACACCTTTAGATCCCATTAGGAAACCATCGGATTCATCTATAATTTGTCCCAGAACACCTGTTAAACCATCAGTTCTGGATATAATGCAATATGAGTAAATATCCACAAGGTGGCGGTGTATACCTCTTAACCATAGGTAGGTAGATAGACAGATAGATAGATAGATAGATAGATAGATAGATATGCTTCTAATTTACTTGATTTAAATATAAACACCGTTTTCACACAAATAAGCATGTTACCTCAACATACAATTATATCCAGAAGTAAATAAACTGAAAGACAAAGTTGTGTTTATGTAGAAATGATGAACATATTAAATCAAGTAAATTCATCACAGAAAATCTGATGTGGAAAAACGTCCTGCTTCTTTAGAATCACACTATATTTTTCCATCCTCTTATTCCTGAGGAATACTGCATGTTTACTCTGTTTACACAGACAGACAAATGTGGAGATAAACTGTTTCTATCTGAAAGTTCCTGATTCTGTAGAAACCCAAACGGAAATATGCGTCAGTTCATGCATTTCAATTTAAAGGCGTATATTTGCTTATTTGGAGTTCCCATAAATATCCAACTTAAATTTGTCACATACGTACATACATGTGACATACATGCCAGCTTATTTGAAATGGATTATTTTCAATATGGGACATATAAATCATGATCCATTTAACATACATATGTAACACATATTTAACAATATATGATAGAAAGCACTAGTCATATATGGTTGCTGTATATTACTCATATATGCGAGGTTCATGTCAGACAATGAAGGGTTTTTTTCAGTGTTTATATTCATATATGTATGACCAATGTATTAGACACACTGTATATCAGGCAAACGTTATACATGTGATCTATATATGATGTATGTATGTATTCACCCACCTATCAGACATATATGATCCATGTATTATACACATATGCCCAAATATTCGATGCTTATACATGTGCATAACATATATTTTGAAATATATGCCTGACCGTGTGATATATGAACATATATGGCCATATATCTGATTTATATATGGGGAGTGTGTGTGATATAAAGTTTTTCAACTGTGTTTATGTCTGAACTACACTGCACTTTTTCTCTATTGTTCAGACTGACAGAGCTGTGAACACTTTGGAAAGTAAAAAATAGGGGAAAAATCGGGAAAAAGTCCGATTTCACGACTTTATTTACGTACAAACAAAACCAGTATGTCCTCTTCCAGCCCGTGTGGGTACATTTTCAGGTTTTCTGCTGCCTGCAGCTCGGTGCTTCTCCTCTGGCCGCAGATCATCAGGCGAGCTTAGGGAGTCTGGAAGAGTGTCTGTTTCAAGGCCCCCCGAACTCGCTCCTCCTTCATCTCGTAACAGCGCAGCGTAAGGGGGGGGGGGCTTGAAACCGCCCATCGGACAAAGAGGGTGAAAAAAAAGTCATGCAGTTCTGCAAGGCAGCTCGCGGCTGTCGGTCGGGAAAGTTGTGAGAAGTTCGCGTGTAGCGCGTCTGTTTTTTGTAGTAAGTATATGAAATAATATGTTATTTAAATCTTAACGTGCGCAGTTTTGTGACTTAGTTTAAGTTTAGTAACTTGTCGCGATAATGGAGACGAGTCCGAGCTCGCCTGCCTTCTCCACGTTGCTGCTGCTGCTGCTGTCGTCCTTGCTCGCCTCGGTGTGTGGACAGTATCAAGGTGACCATGGCATAGCCGTGCCCGACCACGGCTTCTGCCAGCAAATTACGATCCCCCTGTGCACGGACATCGCCTACAACCAGACTATAATGCCCAACCTGGTGGGCCACTACAGCCAGGAAGACGCTGGATTAGAGGTGCACCAGTTTTATCCATTGGTGAAGGTCCAGTGTTCTCCAGAGCTCAAGTTCTTCCTGTGCTCCATGTATGCACCCGTATGTACCGTGCTGGAGAAGGCCATCCCGCCGTGCCGGTCCATTTGCGAGAGGGCCAAACAGGGCTGCGAGGCGCTTATGAACAAATTTGGCTTCCAGTGGCCAGAGAGGCTGCGGTGTGAGAACTTCCCTGTGTTGGGCGACGGCCACATATGTGTTGGTCAGAACGATTCCACGTCCACCGCACCACCTGCCCACAATGTGATTCCGGGAACGCCGGAAGTCTACCTGTTTTCCACACCGGACAGGCCTTTCCGCTGTCCGCCATCGCTCAAGGTCCCGTCATATCTCAACTACAAGTTCCTCGGGGAGCCAGACTGCGGCGCCCCATGTGAATCTTCTAGAACCCATGGAGCCTACATGTTCTTCAACGACCAGGAGATCGCCTTCGCCCGCGTCTGGATCCTAGTCTGGTCGTGTTTGTGTTGCGCATCCACCCTTTTCACCGTGACCACGTATTTGGTGGACATGCAGCGCTTCAAGTACCCCGAGCGGCCAATCATTTTCTTGTCCGGCTGCTACACCATGGTTTCCATCGCCTACATCACGGGCTACTTCCTCGGGGATAAAGTCGTATGCAACGAAAGCTTCTTCCCCGAAACCTACAAAACCATAGTGCAGGGCACGAAGAAAGAGGGCTGCACCATCCTCTTCATGATGCTGTACTTCTTTAGCATGGCCTCCTCCATCTGGTGGGTCATCCTGTCGCTCACCTGGTTCCTGGCTGCGGGGATGAAGTGGGGCCACGAGGCCATCGAAGCCAACTCACAGTACTTCCACCTGGCCGCCTGGGCTGTACCAGCGGTGAAGACCATCAGCATCCTGGCAATGGGGCAGATAGATGGTGACGTTTTGAGCGGCGTCTGCTTTGTGGGCCTCAACAATGTGGATCCGCTGCGAGGCTTCGTCCTGGCGCCGCTCTTCATCTACCTCTTCATCGGCACGTCCTTCTTGCTGGCCGGCTTCGTCTCGCTCTTCCGAATCCGCACCATCATGAAACACGACGGCACCAAGACGGAGAAACTGGAGCGGCTCATGGTGCGCATCGGCGTCTTCTCCGTGCTGTACACGGTGCCGGCCACCATCGTCATCGCCTGCTTCTTCTATGAGCAGGCCTTCCGGGAGCACTGGGAGCGCAGCTGGATCAGCATGCACTGCAAGAGCCTGGCCATCCCCTGCCCCATGCAGCCTGGCCCAAGGATGACCCCGGACTTCACCGTCTACATGATCAAGTACCTCATGACCCTCATCGTCGGGATCACCTCTGGCTTCTGGATCTGGTCGGGCAAGACCCTCCATTCTTGGAGGAAGTTCTACACACGCCTCACCAACGGCCAACACGGCGAGACCACCGTGTAGGAGCCTTCTACAGTACAAACTCTCAGCGAGGGAATGTCACTCTCTGCCTTTTTTAACTGATGACTGAATTTGTTGCTCTTCACAAAGACAAACTGTGGAACTTTGTGTTTTCACTTATTGTCAGTATTCCCAATCCTGAACGCAGCCACTTCTTGACGTTTGCTGTTGAATATTGTATGTCACTTGTAAGACTTGCGGGATGAGGAGATTAGGAGTGTTTTTCTTTTTTTTTTCTGTTGTTTGTTTTGTTCTGTTTTTTTTTTTGTACTCACAAAAATGAACAAGCTGAGGCTAAACAAAAACCAAACCTGGATTTTCCAAAAGAAACAAACGTGGCCATTTCGATGCCATGTGCTGAAACGCTCTCTCCCCCCTCCACTCTGTCTATCCCCTCCCTGTTTTTCCTCCTCAACTTACCAGCCATGAAAAACTAAGGCTTGTAGCGCAAGATGCCAGCTGGGAATTCAGCAAAAAAAGAGGGAGGTGTGCTGTGGGGGAGGAGAAGGGGGCCTTTGAACGTGGACTTCTTTTCCTTTTTGTTTTTTCTTGCAGTAAATTGTGCTAGATGTGCTTTGAGGCACTGTAAATACTATTTGTAAGAAAGTATATATATTTGAATATAATTATATATTTGTATTTAAACTCTGGAATGATTCTTGTTTTCAAGTTTGGTCAAGTGCCTAAACCTCATTCTCTCTCTCTCTCTCTTTCTCTCTCTCATCGTCAGGCGGAGTAATCTGTAATCATATTTCTCCCTCATGAGCTCCATCACTCCCTTCGGAAAGCTGTTTCAAATTAAAAAGGTTCACTAAATCAAATGCTCTTCCTGCTTGCCCCCCCTGCCCCCCCGTACCTCTAATACAGGCCAGCGTCATGTGAAAAGTGACCAAACCCGCTCATTTATATACACTGTCCATCAAAAGTCTGGGGACACCTTGCCAGATTTTCACAGCTACCTCCTTATTATGTTAGGTTATAGTTTTCAAGGCCCATATTCTATATTTTTTTGCTTGTATCTTATTTTTCCTTAGGTCCACTTACATTTGTGCAGGTGTATATACCCAAAAAACAGTCTTAATTCTTTTCTACAAGGCTATTTTCAAATCTCTCTTTATACTTAGAATTACACAGGCTTTTTAACTTATAGCATCTTTAAGTCTGATATATTGCTGTTGTAGGAATGTGACTTCATGTCTCCATTTATGTCATTTTTCAGTTTTTGACATAATGTGAAAACGCCTGTTGTCTTTTGCATTGTGTGTAAATTTCAGGATGAATGGACCAAAAGAAACGACCCAAGATTACTTGGAAAAAATTCTGGTTCCACTGACTTACATTAAAGTCAAGTCGATTTTTCCTTCTCCTGTAAAGTTATCAATTTGGAGATGTGTGGTTTTGTTCCGACAACAGTGATATGTAAATGAGCTCTCTGTTGACTTATATTGTGCAGTCAGGACTGCTGTAGGCATTTGTAAATGTGCTTTCATTTTGTCATTCACAAAAACTGAATTCACAACTGACTTTTTGCAGCTTAGTTTGTGTATATGGGCTGTGTGGAGGGGGGAGTGTATGATATTGTATTATGTTGTGACATTACATATCATCACTGAACAGAACCTCATATTTTCAAAAATGGTAACTTTACAAGAGAAGGAAAAACATGCTTAACTTGTAATTGACTTTAATGGATTTTTTTTTCTCAGATAATTTTGGACATTTGGAATTTTAACACAAAGCATATCTGAATTTTTCACAACAAAAAAAAATGATACAATGTTCTGTTATATTATCAGTGTTTACATACTGAATCTGAGTCTTATTTCAAAAATGAAGTAATCCGTCATATGGGCCCTTTAACTAAGAAAAACCTGCAAATGGGTTCATTACCGTACTGCTAATATGCTAATGCTAATCACAGGGCTCACCAGCCTTATCCACGAAGAGCTGGTGTGGCTGCAGGTTCTCAATCCAGCAAAGCAAAAGCACACCTCAAATAGCTAATCGGTGGTTTGAAGACTGAGACTAACTGATTAAACAAGCAGAATCAGGTGTTCTTCTGCTTGTTTGGAATGAAAACCTGCAGCCAAACAGGCCCTTTGTGGACAAGACTGGTGACCACCATGCTGATCCTTTGGATATTTTTAGCTTCGCTCCGCTTCATGTTCATCAAAGCGTCGGGATGCAGAGCAGGTCCTCCCCAAATAACGATTCAACAGTTTTCCAAACTTTTGCTAAAAGCGTGTTTGAAGCTCATATTGAACTTTTGGCTCAGAGGTGGTTTAAACAGCTGAAAGGTTTGAGTGCTGACATCATACTGAGTGAATAAAAAGCAAGGCCCTTAGCGTTATTCCCAATATAGGGTGCTTTTTTGCAGTTTTCGAAGCATTGAGTGTCTCAGTGCTTTGTGCAGGGCCTGTATGTGAGAGAGAATCAGATAAAAGCTGATGCATGTGCTCTTTTTTTATCTTCAGTTCATTTTTTGGTGTAGGGTGTAAAGCAGAAAACTCTTAAACAGCAAATGGTTCTCACATGATGTGGACATCAGGGGCTGCTGGGAGAAGGAAATGAGGAGCACATGATAAGAGAGCAACCGGTGTGTGTGTGTGTGTGTGTGTGTACATGTTTAGAACAAAATCGCCCTGACGTTGTAGTTAAACCAGTGAAAAACGGTTAACCTACGTGACAAAAACATGACACAGTGTTTTTGTAAATGAATCTGTAAAGGTTTTTTTTTATTTTTAATTTTTTTTTACAAAAGTGTGGTGTTTCATTTCTTAAAATACTTAAAACTGAAAGAACAAATGCATTTTTTGGGGGGTACTGAGGTTAAGATCAGGCTTAGAAAATTCTTATTACACATTTAGACACTTATGTACATCTGTGTATTACCACTATTGATAAAAGTACATACAAATGGGGCATATTGTTACATATATGAACTTACAAATATAAAATACAAATAAGGCATTTTTTAATTTTGTTTTATATATATGTATATATATATATATATATATATATATATATATATATATATATATATGTAGAGAGAGAGAGAGAGAGGGGGGACAATTTTAATTATTACTACATAAACAGTAATATGCAAAAGATTGGCCGCCCTGGTCAGATTTTTCTCTTGATTTTCTAAGTGAAAATAAGTGAACACATCCTTTACAGTGAACACATTTCTGCACATTTTAATACACAGTTACTGTTTATTTGATAAATTTAACACTGTGGGGCAATAAGCATAAAATGTGGCCTGTGAAGAAGTTATGGTACGTTTTATGTTTTATGTTGATTTTTTTCCATCAAGTTAAATTCAGCAAATAAACAGTGAGCTACCTTTTAAATGTTTGAAGAGTGTAAAATGTTTTGTAAATGTATCAGTTTTAGTGTTCTTGGGTTCTTGCTAGAGGTCTTGGATTATGTGGAGGTTCTTTAAACTTTAAACAGGTTCTTCATGATCACACATCTCATTTACCATAATAGTTCTCCAAAGAACCACCTGTTGAAATGTTCATTAGTGATCCTTCTATGACACTACGCAAAGAACCCTTTATTGCAACTTTGTTTTTAAGAACGTAGGTACTTTACATGGTGTTCAAATTTCATAAATGGAGCTATAGAAATATTTTTTCAATAACTTCCATTCAAACTAAGAACATTTTTTCTTTCTCCTGTAAAGTTTTGGAGATAGAAGGTTTTGTCATCAGTATATAATATACATATGGGACATTGCACAATATGTTATTACATATAGATATTTACATATCGCTGCTGTCAAAACCTCGCATCTCCGTTATTGTCGTTTTTCAGTTTTGACATCATTTGAAAATGCCTGTTGCTCTTTACATTGTGTCTAAATTTCATGATGAATTGACCAAAAGAAACAGCCTGTGACTTTGAAACAATTCTGGTTCCATTGACTTACATTAAAAGTAAAGTAGGTTTTTTCCTTCTCCTGTAAAGTTACCATTTTGGAGATACAAGGTTTTCTTCTGACACCAGTGATATTCAATTTGTTGTTGCATATACTTGCAGACACTTTATGCATATGAAATATATTATTACTACAAATAAATACATGCATGTGGGACATATTGTCATAGACATACATATTGTCGCTGCCATAAGAAACCTTCTATGTCCAAAATGGTAACTTTACAAGAGAATAAATAACATTCTTACTTCATTGAATTAAGGTAACAAGTCATTTTGGACCATTTTTATTCATCTTGAAGTTCCTGAATTCACAATGTAAAGAGCAGCTAATGTGTCCATTTATATATGTAACACAAAAGAGCTATATGTACATATCAATAGTGTATATATGGTCATATTTGTGACACTGTATGTCCTGACAAGCTATAAAAACAAGCATGAGTTGCTTACAGAAAGGCCTTCTTGCTTCGCTTAGCTGTCCTTTCTCCAAGTTCCATGTTCCAAATCCAGTGCCAGGAAAATTCTGCCGGAGTTTCTCAATGATAAAGGGTGCAGTGCAGAAAAGCTGCTGAACACACAGGATGATCATTTTGGTTTTTACAGCAAGTATTGCAGGAGTGACTGTGGGTTATTTACTTGATTCAAATATGCAGATCATGTCACGTGAATTAAATATATTACATTAGCATAATTACTGATAATAGAAGAAAATTGTATCAATGTGATGTGAAGATTTTCAGCAGGCGGCCCTTATTTACAGAGCATTTATCAGGTGCATGTTTCAGTGACCCTACCGGCTTGTGTCTCCACTGGCAACTGTTCAGCTCATAGTCCTGCATGCTCTCAGACCTATGTGTGTGTGTGAGCTCATGTTTCCAGTCTAATGCATGTCCTCGGGGCACTTGGTTTCATGCTCACAATGGCAGCCTTCTGTCTTTACCTTAAACCTCATTTACTCAGCATGGGCACCAGGTGAAAAAGTGGATATGTGTTCTAGGGCTGTGAAATGATTCAATTGATTCGCATTAATTAATTGCATTAGGTTGTTTTTTTCCCCTTTAAAAAGATGGTTCTTCACGGGTTCTAGTAAAGAACACCTTGAGTTAGAACCATTTCATGCCTAAAAGGTTCTGTGCATGGTGAAACGGTCCTTCAGATTGAGAATGTGTTGTATGTGCTTCTGTATAAAAGCTTTTTTAAAAATGGTTCTGTGTAGCACCAAAAAGGGTTCTGCTACTGTTGCGATGTCAAGCTTGTAACACTAGCAGAACCCTTTTTGGTGCTACACAGAACCATATACAACACATTCTCCATTAATCTGAAGAACCGTTTCACCATACAAAGAAACATTAAAGCATAAAATGGTTCTGTGTAGGACTCATGGTGCTCTTTATTAAAGAACCCTTGAAGATCCATCCTTTTAAAGAGTGTAGTTGAAGGGGAATTCCACCAAAGTTCCAAATTTCATTCAGAGTGTTCTGGTATGAAGTGCTCTGTTCTAGAGAAACTTATCGAATTGTTCACAGCGGTGGTGATAGGAACCAGGAGTGTCTAGAGCTTTTCTCAGCTTAGTTCCCATTTTTTTTTGTGTTTATTTATTTATTTATTTATTTATTTATTTTGTGAAACAGCCCAAGAGTTGAGTGGAACATTAATTAGGAATTACATTTTTATTGCTGGTAATGAAGCATAGGACTTGT